TTTCAATGAACACTTATTTTGAATATTTGTGAACACATTGAATAATACGAAGAAAATATGTTTCATATTTACATTATGGAAGCCACAAACACCTTATCGAGAGTAAGAAGAACATCTTGTGAACACCCATTGGCGGATCCAAATTTTTTGCCAAGTGCGGGCACCTTTAAGGTAAATTAAAGGTCCGCAAGTCGTCCAATGTGTTTTTAGCCTAATTCCACCGTTTCAAGAGATCTTTTAAGTTTTCTTTATCGATTTTGAAGGGCTTTTTTTGATTTTTTTGGGTTGATTTCAATATACTTTTTTTAATTGGTGGGGCTCTAACGAGAAATTATTGAAAAAACCAGGGTCAAAAATTAAAAAAAATAGTTTTTCACCTAAGAAAATTCCTTATTTAAATTAATGGTATTTTAGATAAACAACCATGATGATAAATCAGAAGACAAAACACCTCACTTAACGGTATTTTTAATGACATTAGTCAGAAAGACTGAAACAAAACAAGTTGTAAACCTCGGTGACCATTAGTTTAATAAATAAAGTTTTAAGGACCAAAATGAAAATACCACAAGGACCAAAAATGTAATTAAATTTAACTATAAATAGACCCCCAAACCATTCTTTTAAAAGGTATCGAACACCGATTTTGTTTTTGTAACCGAATCCTAATGCTTAAACTTCATTGCTTCGTTTATTTATTTTCACCTTCCGATTTTCAATATACGATGCCGAAGGAAACACCGGCTTACACCTTGATGCCGGAGTAGACGTGGGTTAAGCCTAGATGCCGGAGTAGACGTCGGGTTACGCCTCGATGATGGAGTAGAGTCGGGTTACGCCTCGATGACGGAGTAGACGACGGCTTGCGCCTCGACGCCAGAACAGACGACGGCTTACGCCTCAATGACGTATTGTTTTTTCCTTCTTCATCCCTAGTTGTCGACCCTATGTCCTTTCGTCATCGGTATGTCTATTGATTTTTCTTATTAGGGTTTCATAGGCACTGCTTCCAGTAACACGACGGTTCGTGAAGATTTATTCAGTAACTTCATGATCATCGTGTTTTGATCAGGTCCGTTTGTATTATTAGGCTTGCGAGATGTAAGTATTTTTTTGATTTTGGGATATGCTATTTTCTATGCAGTGATAAATATCGACGAGTTCTCGAGTGATATTGGATTGGTTGTCGAAGGTGTATCCATACGATTAGGGTTCTGTAGAATGCATAGATAGGGAGGATATGGTTTGATATTGAGAAAAAATAAAGAATTAAGGTTTGATTTTGAGGAAAAAAAGAATTAAGGGTTTTATTTTGAAAAAAAAAGAAAGAATTAGGGTTACATTATTGAGAAGTAAAATGGTTTGATCTTGTATGCCTTTCCAAATGTTAAGAGTAGTTAGACATCAGATTGATTAGGACCATTTCTTCACTACATATGTTAGGAACCTTTTGTTTTTAGGGGTCTCTTTGGTTGGTTTTCCATTTATGTATTGTATGGATAAAATTATCTGTATGGATTAACGTACTTCAATCGATTACCCGAATACTTAAATTTTTAAAACTTTACATTGCAGAAGATGGGGCCATGATCCATGAATGATCATGAAGTTTTGATAATTTTGATGTTGATATTGTGACCGACTTTTTTCTTTTTTGTCGTAATCATCAGGTTTGAGTATCTAAACTGATTCTTCTTTTTTATATTGTTCTTTCCATGCAAAAAATGATTAACCATTCAACTTAAAATTTATGAGTTGATTAAAATTAAACAATAAATAAATCTAAAAAATGTATTGAGATTTTTAACGATTTATCCAATTCAACATGATAATTATCCTAATTTCTAAATTATTTATTGTTTTTTGTTTATAGTATTTTTTAATTAATGGATTATTTGACTCATGTTCCTTCTCGTCTTCTTACAAATTGACCGTCTTCTTGTTTGAACCTATCCCTGTATGTGTGTGTATGTGTATACAAAAAGAAGTTCTATTACAAACCTATTTTCGGTTATGAACCGGGGACAAAGTAGAGCACACCCCATGTCCTCGGTGTTTACATGCAGTATGAATAATGAAGGTCATTAAACATGAATAATAAAGTTGAATGTTCATGAACTATTTATGATGAATACATGATCATTGATCTGTTTTAAATTGATTCACTATTTAGGATGAATAATACGCATTCATCAGGATAGTATATTATTCATGATAAATAATCCGTGAAGGTGTGAGACACGTGTCACACTCTACTTTGTCTCTCGGTCAACAACCAAAAATCAGTTTTAAATTGAAACCCACTCCTATATATATGTGTGTGCGTGCACATCTCTCGTTCCACAATCAAAAATCAGTTTTCAATTGAAACCCACTCCTATATATGTGTGTGCGTGTGTGCATGAACGCATACTCACGTGGGTGTGGATGTGTAATATATATTAAAATTAAACCTCAAGTATAATAATTAATATATATTAGAGTATAATAATTAATAAATTTAAATTAAGTATGAAAAATATTTATCTTTTATTTATTAGATTTAATTACACTTAATAATAACGGGAGTAATGAATTTCTTTGTCTTTTCGTTAAAGGTAGAAATAGAAATCAAATTTACTTTTAAAAATGAATATTTATTTGAGGATAAATTAAAATAGGAATATGAACACTCATTTTGTGACGGAGGGAATAACACTTCGGTTAACTATCTTGTCTTTTATCAAAAGGGTATTTTAAAAACCGACAAATTGTCAAACAAATTCCTTAAACGAATGGAGCACAATAGATTATCCATATGTGTCAAGAACAAATAAACATATTACCCATTAAAACCGTGATAAAATGCTTCCAATATATCTAAAACATTAAATCAAATCAAACAAATCCATATATAAATCAATAGTAGGATGGGGGTAAGACCACCCACATGGGGCATGCAAATGGAATTGCAAATAAACTTTTGTCAGAATACTTGCTGCCATGTAGGAAAACAATTGCAAAATTTGCAATTGACATTGAAAGCCACGTGGGCCACCAACCTCCTCTCCAATTTCTTTTTTTTTTTTCTGATTATTTAAATAAATTAATTTTTATAATATTAATATATTTATTAATTACATTAATTATTCT